TAGATATTGGAGTTCCTGGATATCTGGTGAAAAATGGGTTACAGGACTCAGGACTGTTGGCTGAGCAACCAGGGCCAGCAGCTGCAGAATTACTGGAAGAAAAGGTGTTTACCCGTCGCAGATACACAGTGATGGAAAACAAAGAAATAATGATCTGTTACTACAGATCAAGTCCAACAAGAAGAGGATATCTAAAACGAATGCACCAATTCTGGAAAGAACAACATCCAGAATCAGAAATAACAGAACAGAGACTAGCAGATCAACGCCGATTTATAACACGAAATAAAGTATTCACAGAAACAGAATTGGACGAACTGCAAAGGTTTACCCAGGGCAAAGAAATCAAAGCCTTACCAGAAGTAATTCAGAATGTAGAGGCAAACCAGGGGGAGTTGGCAGTGAAGGAATCTAGCAGAGATATACAACTGTTCTCATTTGGAAACCAGGCACCTCTTCCTCAGGAAGAACAAAACCCTCTAACTAAAGAAATAAAAGAATTGAAACAAAGAATAACTGAGCATCTAGAACAGCACAAAAACAACAGAATAAGGCTACCTGCATTGAAGCTTGTTCCAAAGAAACAGCTAGCACAAGCATTAAAAGATGCAAATACTGCAATATCAAGTATAAGCACCAATTCACTGCAAGAAACAAACCAACTAATGTACAGCACAGCTGCAGTTATAACAGAATACCTGGGATGCAAAATCAACAAAGAAGAAAAACAAACAAACAGTGCACCAGAAAAATGGAAGGTTAGACTAGAAAATAAGATCAGCAAGTTAAGATCACATGCAAGCAAGCTAGAACAGATGAAAGAAAAGAAGCTGAAGAACAAGAAGACCAAAGAATACCTAATCAAGAAATACCACTTAGAAACAAGGAAGATCAAGGAAACACTGGAAATAATAAAGCAACAAATAACAGCTATAGCCAGGAAAATCAGTAGATATGAAGCTCGAATTGCAAACTATAGGCAGAACCTCCAATTTCAATCCAATCAGAAACGTTTCTACCAATCCATCAATGGAGAAACTGCAAGGAATCAGTCAGTACCTGACAAGGAAGAAACAGTGCAGTTCTGGAAGCAGATATGGGATAACCCAAAGAAATACAACAAGGATGCGGCTTGGTTAAAAGAGGTGGATGCAAATAAAACAGAAGTTGAAATGAAAGAACTAGTAATAACAACAAAAATGGTAGAAAAAAGAGCAAAGAAAATCAAAAATTGGTCAGCACCAGGTGAAGATGAACTGCATGGGTTTTGGTTGAAACATCTAACTGTTATACACCCACTCATTGCCAAGCAGTTCAACAATATACTACAAGGAGGAGAAATTGAAAAGTGGCTAACAACTGGGAAAACCTACCTAATAATGAAAAATCCAGCAAAAGGGGCAACACCAGGTAACTACAGGCCAATTACCTGCTTACCAACAACTTTCAAATTACTAACTGGTGTAGTAGCTGATGCAGTGCAACAGCATCTAGTTGAAAACAATCTCTTTCCACCTGAGCAGAAAGGAAACCGCCCCAATAGCAGAGGAACAAAAGATCAACTCCTAATAGACAAAATGATCTTGGAAAACTGCAAGAGAAGGAAGACCAACCTGAATGTGGCATGGATTGACTACAAAAAGGCATTTGACTCTCTGCCACATGATTGGATAATAAAGTGCCTAGAAATAACAGGAGTCAGTAGAAACATCAGAAAATTTGTGCAAAGATCGATGGCACAATGGAAGACACAGTTGCAGATCAATGGTGAGAGGCTGGGAGAGGTTAATATCAAGAGAGGAATATTTCAAGGAGATTCATTATCACCATTACTATTTGTTATTGCACTGTTTCCTCTGTCAACAATACTGAATAACTCAGGACATGGCTATCAAACATCAAAAACATCTGCCAGACTATCCCACCTCCTTTATATGGATGATCTGAAGCTGTATGGAAAAACATCATCTGAAATAGAATCGCTGCTCAACACTGTCCGTATATATAGCCAAGATATTGTAATGGAGTTTGGCTTGGACAAATGTGCCACACTTACTATCAAACAAGGAAAAATAGTGAAAACTGAAGGAATCAAGATGCCCCACGAAAATAACATTAAGAGTCTGGATGAGGAAGAGTACTACAAATACTTGGGTATCCTTCAAGCTGACAACATCAAGCACACTGAAGTCAAGAAAAAGATTAGAGGTGAATACATCAAGAGAGTGAAGAAGATCTTAAAATCCAAACTCAATGGAGGAAATACCATAAAGGCAATCAACACCTGGGCAATCCCAGTCATTAGGTACACAGCTGGAATAGTGGACTGGACTCAAGCAGAACTAAAAGCAATGGATAGGCAGACCAGAAAAATAATGACAATGAATCATGCCCTTCATCCACGCAGTGACATTGATAGACTTTATCTACCAAGGCAAATAGGTGGGCGTGGAATGCTACAAGTACATCAGATGGTTGAAGAAGAAAAAATGGCTTTGGAAGAATATCTGAAGAACAATGATGAAGATGCACTGAAATTAGTATATCAGGAAGGCTTACTAACTACTGGAGAGACCAAACTGGCCTACAAGAAAGACCAAATGAAGAACAGAATAGAGGCATGGGAAGACAAAGCACTACATGGCCAATACATGAAAAAAATAGCTGGGAAAGCAGATAATAATAAAACCTGGCAATGGCTAAGAGCAGGAAAATTGAAGAAAGAGACCGAGGGACTAATTCTGGCTGCACAAGACCAAGCCTTAAGGACAAATGCATACAAAGTCAAAATTGAGAAGACAGCAACAGACAGTAAGTGCCGCCTATGCAAAGAAGCTGAAGAAACAGTGGACCACTTGGTAAGCTGTTGCAAGAAGATTGCACAGACTGATTACAAGCAGCGGCATGACAAAGTAGCAACAATGGTGCATTGGAAGATCTGCAAAAAATATCATTTGCCTGTAAGCAAAAACTGGTGGGATCATAAAATAGAGAAAGTCATAGAAAATGATAAAATTAAACTGCTCTGGGACTTCAGAATTCAAACAGACAAGCACCTGCAACATAACACCCCAGACTTAACAATTGTCGATAAGAAAGACAAAAAAGTCTGGATAGTGGACGTGGCAGTGCCTGGAGACAGCAGAATAGAAGAGAAAGAACTGGAGAAGATAACAAAATACAAAGACCTACAAATAGAAATAGAAAGACTGTGGCAAAAGCAAGCAAGGGTAGTACCAATAGTCATAGGCTCCTTGGGTGCAATCCCAAAACAACTGGAGCACCACTTGAACACCATTGGCATTGACAAATTCGCTATTAGTCAATTGCAAAAGGCAGCCTTATTAGGAACTGCTTCCATCCTGCGACGATATCTGTAATACCATCAAACATCCACATCTGCCTATCCCAGGTCCTGGGTAAGGACTCGATAGGTAGACAAAATGCCAAATCCAGTCTGAACATCTGGCTGACTGTGCGATGATCGATAATAATAATAATAATAATAATAATAATAATAATAATAATAATAATAATAATAATAATAATAATAAAGTTGGAAGAGACCTTGGAGGTCATCGAGTCCAACCCCCTGCTCAGGCAGGAAACCCTACACCATTTCGGACAAATGTCTGTCCAGTCTCTTCTTAAAAACTTCCAGTGTTGGAGCATTCACTGCTTCTGGAGGCAGATTGTTCCATTAGTTAATTGTTCTAACTGTCAGGAAATTTCTCCTTAGTTCTAGGTTGCTTCTCTCCTTGATTAGTTTCCATCCGTTGCTTCTCGTCCTGCCTTCAGAATGAAACAGAATGACATCTCATGGAAGTGCCCTTCTTTTGGCTAAAACAAGCATATGTAAAGGCATATTTACTTCTGTTGATGTTCCAAGGTGCTTTTAATCCAATTGCTTGTTTCTTGTTAGATGAAAAAGATGTCCCAAGTAAAATTGAATGTATATTAATTGATGGATGAAATAATTCCTTTGATTCTTCCCCAATCCTGCCCCAAATACATACACCGGCCTTGCTTATTTAATCTTTCTAATCATTTTCTTAGAATAATACATTTGGTCACATTTTTTTTTATTTCTTCATTGAAAAGTATCTAACTGGTGTCTATAAGTCTCACTTTTAATTTTTAATTGGAACTTGGGTCTTCTTAAAAGTAAAAACGTAAAATAAAAATCAAAGGCAAGTGGGCAGCATATCAAGATTATAATTGTAGGACTGATTCTATTTCATTTGAATCAACTACTATCAATTCATGGCAAATAAATATGACCAATCCAAGGACAACAATTAGACTTTTCAGAGGTAGTGTAATGGTGAAGTGTTGGACTTGAGTTAAGGTGGCCAAGAGGATGTGGGTATGTTTTTTTTAAAAAAAAGCTGAATGATGATCTTGATGATACAATCAAAGTCATGCCTGTTTTGTGTGTGTTGCACATGACAACATTAGGCAGGGCTTTGATTACTCTGTTGTGGCTGCCATTTGAATTTTTTTCTACACTCCATGGACACCACTGAAGGTAACTTAAGTTTAAATCAACACGTAGTCATAGAAACTCAGTGGTCATTTTGGATAAGCAGACACTTCTTCAAAGCACTAAGCTGCACTTACCCCTTATTTTTATTATATGTAAAAGTCAAAGACAGATATAGATATAGCTGATATATCTATATATCAGCTGCAAGTAGCTTCTCATTCTTTAGAATTTGAAATGCATATATTTTTAAAAGTCATGGGGTATAGAGCCTGGAAGTGGCAAAAAAAAACCATCAACACATGGGTATCCACACATACTCCATTGCCTACATTGTATTTCCATTGTTAGTCATTTGCAAGGATAACAGAGTCCATAAAACAACAATGGTTGTTTAGGTGCCACAGTGCCAGGACTGGGCCCCAGACATCATGTGTGGTGTCCACATATATTCTTATGCCTCCATTTTATCTCCATGGTTAGTTATTTGCAAGAATAACAGAGTCCACAATACAAATGCAGTAATATCAACTTTGAAAAGTGCTTTACTCAATATAAATAAATTACATAGGTTCTCACTGAACAAAGTAAATTTTCATAATCATTTACATTGTACAATTATCTAAAATAAATGTCTCTTTCATTTAAAATATTGTGCAAAAGTATTTAGACACAACTGAATGCTGTCAGTTCAGATTATTTGCATAAAATATTGCCTTTTATGTCTTGTTTCAAAAATATATATTCCTGACATGCTTACATGCCGGCATTCAGCAGAAGCCTAGGAGTTGCATCCTGGAAACTTATTGACTGCAGCTAGAAAAGTTTCCTATGGAAGACAGAATGTCTTCATATTCACAGATGATTTTCTGGCAATACAATCTGATTATTTTGTAAAGGAAACCTTTATTGGGCTATGGTGACAAAAATCAGGAGTTTGGTAGCACCTTTTCCAACTAAAACATTTTATTAAAAGGAAGAAGCTTTCTTGGCTGCAACTCAATTTATCAAATGTGCAGAGTGGCTAAATTGATATATAAATTGGGGTAAGGCAAGCCAAAATATATTACAGTATTCCTTCTATTCACAGTAGTTGAGAGTTGGGCAGCATGTGAGTTTAATCAATTATTATCTATGTATTTATAACTAAACTTCCGTACATTTATGAAATTTAAATATTCTGAAATAAAGTTGTTTAAAACACAGACAAAAATAGTCTCTATAGAAAAATGTGCATAACAAGATTAATAATGAACTGTCTGCTGCTTTCAAGTAAGCAATTTTAAAAAGAACAATTTTGAAACAAAATAAAGTACCTTTTCTAAATCATAAGGGGGAGCTCCAAAGCAGTTTGAAAAGTACAGTATCACATTTATATGCAGAAGTCAAATGCAAATCTCTGAAATTTAAGAATCTGGAGCAGCCACCAACTACATACCCCAAAGTTCAAATATTGAAGGCACTTCCACATATTTTAAGTGGCTTAAAATGAGGTTAGATGGTTTTCTTTCTCCATCTTTTCATTTTTCAATGATGTTACAAAACTATCCACAGAGTTAACTGTTAATATAATAAACCCATATTCTCAAAAAAATATTGAGAACATATGTAACCATTACAAAATCACTTATCACACTACAGTGACTAGTATTCATTGAGCACTGGAAAAGGAAATTCTTTTTATAAATTTTCTTTAAAGTAATAAACCATTTTGTCACATACACACATACACATACTTACACACATGAAGAGAGAGAGTGGGGTTGATTAAGTTATAGCTGCTTTCCCTGATTTATTATCTTGCTTACATGTTGCAATTAGAACTCCCAATAGCTGATTTGCTACTGACAATCCAAACAATTCTCAGGTAACAGTATGAAACAGAACAAATAGATGAGCACTATAGCAGTGTAGTATGTACTCCATGCTTCATAAATGTAAATAACAATGGTCTCTCATGATACCTGCATCCAGAGATTTCTTATAAATATAGGCCAAAATGTCACTTAGCATTTATGAATCAAGGAAATACTTGAAATGCTATGAGTGCTGAATTAATATGTCAGTGCTGAAAGTCTTAGTCACAGCCCATCAAGTCCTTGGAAATGGCCCAAGACCCACTTTGAATAGAGCTGGTGAATGCAGTATCAATTGCTGAGTGTGGTGGAACAGTAACTGGCTCAATGTGGGCTACTTCCATTGTTCTTAGTGAGTCGAGTTGATTAGATCTGTCTTAGTTTTAATACCAGCTTTAGTACAAGTCTTAGGGCTGTAACCTAGCAATAGCTTAATCTGTTATTTGTACCTCCAGATGATTAAATTGACCATAATAATCCTTGACTTCTTCTTGATTGATTAAATGGATCAATCCTTAGAGGAAGTGATCTGTATCTCTTTGCAAGAGGAAGTAATAATGCTTTTATTAATAAAAACATTCCTTGACATGAGAGATCTGTACAATTATAGATCATTCTTAAATATTCTAGTTTCAGGAAAGGTGATCAAGAAAATAGCAGCCTTGCAATTTCAGACAAATGTGAATGGTACTAATTTTCTACATCTGTATGAATTAGTCTTTCAGTTGGTCATAATAAGGAAACTATACTAGTTCCCTTGGTAGATGACTCATGTCAGAAGCTGAAAGAAAACAGTATAAACTCTGCCAGAGTTCTTGGATCTCCTGATATCCTTTTAGCTGCCTGGCAGAACTGGCCATGAAGGCATCACTTTATAATAGCTCTAATACTATCAGGCCATGAACAGAATCTAGTGTTGGGGGACTACTGTTCAGTACCAGGGCTGACAATCTTTGATAATCCTCAGGATTCTATCTTGGAGAAATTCAGGTGAAATTTTCGAAGAGGTGTCATGCTGATTAACCTAAAACATCCTCACCTATCTCACTCAACTCCAAGAATACAAGACAGTTGGATGAGGAAAAATATGCTGAAATAAAACTTAAGAGGACATGGTGATATTGTTGGTAAGTAGGAAAATTTACGTGGGAGTTGAGATTCAGCATCTTTCAGATGGAATTCACTTCCCATAGGGGGGAAAATTGTTTTCTATTTGAGAATGGTCCTTGATTCTCAGCTATCATTGGATTCATACATCGTAGCTGAGGTAAATAGCATTTCTGAATAATTACACCTAAATATCAGCTGGAACTTGTTTTGAACCAGTCAGATTTAATGATGACTACCCATGCCTTGATTATATCCTATCGTGACTATCCCCATATACTTAATGTGGGCCTACCTCTGAAAAATATGCAGAAATTGCATTTGGAGCAAAAAAGCTCTGACAACTAAGCTATTCTGGTATATGCTTCAAGCTTTATATGATACCTATACCAAAATATCTGTACAGGGCCAGTTGTTTGTTACTAGAAACAATTTAAAGTAACAGAATAACAGAATTGAAAGGGACCTTGGGGGTCTTCTAATCCAACACCCCAAAGTGTTGGCATTGATCCCCCAAATCCTAAAGAACTTAGGATCTCACTATCTGAAGGACTGCTCTTCTGAAAATGAGCTTTAAAAGACCAATTTTTATAGCTTGTAAAATTGGATCTCCCTTCTGTGTCGTTCCCACATTATACAGTGTATTTTCTTGGGAATAATACCTGGTCTCCACTCTTTCAGTATTTAGAAAATTAATTGTTCAATGGTTTAAGTGCACAAGCTAAGGTTAATTTTAGCAAATGTTTTTAATCTTGGGCAAGCTGGTATTTTGTGGTGGGGACATTAATTTTGAAAGCTGCCTTTGCGTACGTACCAGAGTAGAAATAGGAAAGTAAATAAAATACACAAAAGCATAATTTTAAAATGTATTAATGTGAAAAAAATATTAACTACTTGATTAGTAATCCTGTTAACAGATTTAATTTTATTTCATTTTGTTTTTATCCTGGCCCATAATCTTCTCAGAGTCCTCAATCCTAACAGGTAAAGATAGTGGCACTCAGACTGAAAAACTGAGCTTGCCCATTACAGGCCAAAATTGAAGACACCATTTCTTATCAAAGTACTTTCATATCCCATGGAAATCTTTATTTTCCTACAACCAATTAAATGAGTTGCTAAAGATGACTTTTTGGTTAAAACATTTACACATTCTACACCAGAGGTCCCCAATATTTTGGGCACCAGGGACTGGTTCCGTGGAGAGAGGTTTTTCCACGGACTGGAGGGTGTGTGATTTTGTGTGCTGCCTGCATCTCATGGATGAGGCTTTGCTTGTTTGTGTGGACTGGTTGCTGGCTGCAAAAATCATACTATTCTCTTGAGAGAGAAAAAAGTCTCATGTGACTGAGGTGCACTTGAAGTAAAATGGATTTAAAGTAAAAGTGTATTTATTTTTTTAAAAAGAATTAAATGACTTGCTCAGAGTCCTCCAGTGCTGGTACTCAGAAGTTACAGCTGCCATTGGACATCACTTAGATTTTTTCTTTGACTGTCTCTTGAAAGAATAGTTGTTCCTCATTTAAAGACGTACTGAAGTGCTTGTTTGATCTTGTGTTTTCGAATCTGCAATAATATCTGGGGGAGGCTTATATAACACACATGCTATGATAGTAAAAATTAAAGAAACTGCTTTGGAACATGCACCTGCAAAAATAAATTAAGCAAAAATTAAATTAAACATTGCTATTTATTTATCATCTTGCTTTAAAAGGAAACAAATACAAACTTATAAGCAGTAATTATACAGCAACAATAGATTTCTATATGTATCATTATAACATGACAATAGGGTTGGCCCTGCACTACTTAAAAGTCTGAAAAAACAAAATTTGCACATTATATAGGAGCTCCCATGTTCTGATCTCTGCCAGTTAACACTTTTCTTTGATTAAAACTGCTGAACTGATGTTTGATCCATTCAGCCTGTAATTAATTATTAGATTGGTTCAATATAAGTTTCAAATAACTTTGGTTATAGGCTTGAATTGGTTCACCTACTATAAATAGCTCTCAACTTATTACTATAATGGAGCCTGCCCATTACAGTCATAAGTAAATGTAGTCATTAAGTGAGGTGCCCACCTTGCTCAATGATCACTAATGTGGCCTTCCCAAGTGCGATCATTAAGTCACTGTGCAGGTCATTAAATCAATGGAGCAAAAAAGGGTAGGCAGCTCTGTTCCATGCACAGAATGAAATTACTTCTCCTCTCCATGCATGGTTGGCTGGGGAATTTTGGGAATTGAAGTCCACATATCTTAATGTTGGCAAGGTTGAGAAACACTGTTTTAGACATTGAAGATCAAAAAAACACTGACTATTTTAACACATATTTTGTTTATATACCAAATCAAAGAAATGAGAGAATGAAGTAAATTATAAAAGTATAAGCTGATCCCTTCAGCATATTTGCATCATTTTTAAGGAAAACAAATATACTTACTTATACCAAATAGCAAATATGCCATTTTGTTGTTGTTATAGGTCCAACATGCTCCTTTACGTCCACATTTATCTACAGACCAGAGAGTGCAAGAATCATCTATTGAGATACCAAAAAGGATTGGGCCAGGAATAGTGCCTGCAAAAGATGGAGTGATACAAAACTATATGAAAATACCAGCTACAGATGACTGAAACTATAAAATAGAAAATAAGGATCTAGAGACATTTAGAAATGTTAATGTGCAAATGAACTCAACAAGAAGGCCCTTGCTAAAACTGCAGACAAATCATTTAGTTCATTTTTGAATAAATCTTTAGCCCTTTAAGTTAGCTAGTTTTAGTTCTACCCCCACAGGATTTCATAAGAGCTAAAATCTATGAAAAGTCTTCAAAGTGGCTAAATCTTTAAGATGTTGGCGATCTCATTCCTAGGTTTTGCAAATTTACATCAACAAATAGTAACTTTTCATGTGGTCTCACATAAAATTGTCAAGATCGCAAGTAAGAAGATGATTTTGTGGATACTTGGACATTTCTTTATAGTTTTAAAGCTCATTATTTGGGAATGGAGTCTAGGGATTAATTAGGGTTGAATGAATCCTTGATGCTTCCTTAGCCACTGATGTTCCTCAGGAATTACCTATACAGGTTTTCTGATGCAGTCTCTTTTTATGGAAAGCAGGTTTTCCTGAATTGTGAAATGTGTTTTCCTGGCTGCAGTTTGTTTCATAAAAGCTTTGTAACTACCAGTGATTGCTTACTTGACCTTTTCAATCCTATTCAGAAAATAGATCAGTTTCCTTTTAGAAAATGCTATCTTTTTCAGTTAAGTCAAGATCTAGAATCTGTTCTCCTGTTTAACTTTCTCTTCTTCTTCAAGAAAATGTGACAGAAATGATGCCAGCAATCCCTTGCAGCCTCTGTGCATAGTTTCATTTAACCCAGTTTTTTGGCCAAGAAATAAGTTAATATAGCAACATGATTTTGGGGAGGTTAGAGAAAGCTGTAAAGGCTTTTGTGACTTGCTTTGGAGAAGGAGAGGATGTGATTAAGACCACTTACAAAAAGAGGTCTTTGAAAATAAAGAATGCATGCTATCAGATTATTTTGCAGTAAATTGTATTGTATAGCTTGACATTTTATTAAAAGAGCAAAATGAGTAGCAAAATCTATTTGGGGGATGAGAAAAACTATTTTTCTGTTTTTAGAGGTCTTGTATAAAGTAATGCATAGGAAAAAAATGGAAACTTGAGCTGAAAGTTCTCAATGAAGAATTTTTAGTCAAATTTATGATGGTCAAATCAACCAGGAGGGGATGGATTTCCAATAATAATAGTGCAAAACTGGAATAGTTTTCTCTCTGCTATAATCCTCATAGTACCTAATAGATCAGAACAATGATAGTATTGTAATACACTACTACTCATGTGTACTTTGAAGAAAAAAAATGACAGCCAACGGCCTTTGGAAGAACTGTCTAGTTTAATGAAGAGAAGGACAAGGGGGGACATGATAGCAGTGTTCCAATATCTCAGGGGCTGCCACAAAAAAAGAGGGAGTAAAGCTATTTTCCAAGGCGCCTGAAGGCAGGACAAGAAGCAACGGGTGGAAACTAAGCAAGGAGAGAAGCAACCTAGAACTAAGGAGAAATTTCCTGACAGTTAGAACAGCCTGCCTCCAGAAGTGGTGAATGCTCCAACACTGGAAGTTTTTAAGAAGAGACTGGACAGCCATTTGTCCAAAATGATATAGAGTTTCCTGCCTGAGCAGGGGGTTGGACTAGATGACCTCCAAGGTCCCTTCCAACTTTACTATTATTATTATTATAACTCTCAGGTTTTGGGTCAAATTTGTCTGCCCCTTAAATCTATAGTCCTTAGACTGACAATATTATTCCTACCATGAAATTTCTTTTGTCAAGTTTTAAACTTACCTAATATTCGTAGAAAGAGCATATGAACACCCAAAGCAAATGATCTGTGATTTTCTGGCACACATCTGTAAATAAAAGTTCACCATTTAATATGATATATACCACCCTTCAACAGATACTATGATATGATTGCTATTCTTTTAACCGTGCAGTGTATTTCTTGAAAAGACAAGGTTAAAACAGAAGACAAAACTAATACTGTAAGTTATTAAACATATAAATAGTAATTCAAGAAAATGTTAACATAGTGACTTTCCAGTCATTGTTCTTCTGTTCACTGTCATTGGAAATCATTTTTCTATTTACTTCTTTATACTTAAATTTTAAAAATGCTTTTAAAAAAACAATAAACAATTTTCATACTACACAAGAGTTCTGTAAAACAACACATGGACACAGACATCTAGGGATATATGAATAGGCCCAGAGGAAATGGTAGAATAAAAATTAGAAATAACAAATTGACTAAATGTGCACCATGATGTATATCATGACACAAATTTTACCCACTATGAATGTGCATAAGATGCTGTAGTACAATTATAAAAGGTAGGACAGGATGTCTGTCGTAACAGTGCAACATATATTGTTTTGCCATCACTTGTGGTAAGAAATGGATGTCTCCTGTGAGGTGGCTTTGACTATTTAGGCTGCCAGCATGAATTCCAAGCAGAAATTCATTATAATTGTTCAACCAATAATTGTTGAATACATCCATGTAACAAGAAAGAAGAAAACCATTGCATCTACTCTGTTTCAAAATCTCCATCTCAATGGATTAAAAGAAAAACTGTCTTCAGGGGAAATCATCATAGAGATAATATGTAAGAAATATTATCCTGGCAGTTGGAACAATTAATCAGTGTAACAACTTGCCTCCACAAGTTGTGGGTGCTCCAACACTGAAGGTTTTTAAGAAGAGATTGGACAACCATTTGTCTCAAATGGCATTGTGTTTCCTGCTTGAGCAGGGTGTTGGACTAGAAGACCTCCAAGGTCTCTTCCAATACTATTATTCTGTTATTTTATTATTCTTTTTGGTTACATTTTAACTCTTAGCTGTAGTCAGAAATTAGTATCTTGTTTGAATATATTCAGCTGAATATTTCAAACAACTGGACATCCCAGGACTTTTGTGGAGATCTACTGCTGATTCCTGCACCCCTGAATACTTTCCTCAGTGCTAGGATGCCAATTTAATTTCCCAGAATGCCCTAGCACCAGGAATCATATACATATTATGGAAATCATTTATATTCTCATATGCATATTACGGAAATCATTTTCTCACTGTACAAATAGTTTGGTGTATTTGCAAAATGATGGTGGAAAAAACAAGTTCATTTTTTTTAAAACAAATTCCTATACTGTATTGCATTTTACAATATTTAACACAGGATAAAAGCAGCATTATAACTACCTGAGAATGGCCACAGTTGTTGGTGTAACTGCCATAAAAGTAAAAACAACCGCAAAAAAGAAGAAGCTAAGGAACCAAGGTAGGACTTTGCATTTAGATTTACATTTTCCAGAAGTGGCCCCGTGGAAGGTATTCTGAATTTCAACTATGGGATTCATAACACAGGAACAATTGCTGTAGTGCTATAAATAGTACATTCAAAAATATAAATAAACAAAATAAGTAACTAATTTGTCCAAAATTAATTGAAAATTCATCTGACAGCAAAATAGTTTTTGAAAAGTTAGATATACACAGACAAATATAGCAAGACTGAATAACCAACGATTCAGCCAGTTGTAAAATAAAAATTGTTCTTATAGCAACAGAATTCTATTTCTAAATGTAAGTGGAACATTTGGTGATCATGGATCTACCTTCATATCAAAATATATTCAGCCAGTTCAATGGCCCTTAAATAAACCAATTGTACCACATCCAAATTTTAGCCATAATATCCATTTCCAAATGGATCTTATCTTTAAAATCCAAATAAGTATTCTTCTGTTCTCTACTTTGCATTTACTTAAAAAGAGAATATTAAGACTATATTAAGTTCCTGGTGTTTTCTGAGCTTGGTTGTTTTCCTGCAGATATTTTGTTACCAGGTTACAGGAAAACAATTAAGTTTTGATAACACCAAGAAGCCAGCAGTTCAGCACTGAGTTATGGATTATTCTCAGCTATTGGAATTAAGAATATAGTAGGTAAGAAGTGAAATAAAATGTTGCAGCTCTTAATAATTGTTCTTATTCAATGTTTAGTCCAGCTAGTCATGCCATTACTGAGGATAGATATTTCATTTGTCTTCCTATGTTTTCTTCTTATTGTCTGGGTTTCCTGTCTGTTTGTTTTATTTTTCCAAGTAGTCAAATTTAATTACTGACTTGCCCAAAGTTCAATGGACTGCTAATGATACATTTTAAACAAGATACATGTCTAAAGCATTTTTAACATTCATAACTTAGATCTGCTGTAGAGTGAGCATCCTCTTTTATAACATAACATGGTCATACCTTCGTTCCATGCTTCTGAGGAACAATAGCAGTACATCCTGCATAACATGGAGAAAAATACTGGACTTCATCTGCACCACAGATGGGCAAAAAATCTGAACGCAAACATCTACAATGGGCATTGCAGGGTGCTGTTAAGTTTGATAACATGCCTGTCCTGAAACAGAGAAATAATATATACATGACATAAAAAATAAACTTTCCATAATAGCATGTTTTTATTTATTAATAACCATGAACAATTGGAGCTAAATATTTCTAAATGTCCGTGCAAGGATTTTTTAAAAATAAAAAAAATCTTATATTCTTCATTTTGTAAAGAAATGGGAGACCACTGAAGTTCATGGAAGTGGTTTCTAGATAGCCCTTGAGTTATGATGCCAATTGAGACTGGAATTTTCATTGATAAGCAATGCGGTCATAAAACAATGTCACATGACTATACCACTTAGCCATGACCATACCTATGGTTGAATTATTAAATGACCATCTCTCACAATTTCCTACTGGCTTCCAACCAGTGGACTTCCAGAAGCAGCATCCATACAGAGAACCGGTTGTTCACATATTTGAATCCCATCACTGCTTCCAACAACCAACTTCAGTGAAGAAACCACCAGGAAGCTGCAAGTCTCAGGCAGTTAGCAAGCAGGCCAGCAAGTAGCTGGTGGTTGCTGCAACGTGGGCTTGAGAGGATGAATTGATGGCTGGGAAGGTATGACCCTACTGAGGCAGAGCCTGGGATGGCTAGAGTTGGGTGGAAGAGGGTGCATAAGGATGTGCAAGTGAACAGAGGGAGACAGTACAAGCACAGCAAAGTTCATGGAGAGGCTTAAGAGTGTGTGGGTTACAGGGGAGTCATGACCTGAGGACAGTGGAGGTTCTTCTGGATGGAGTAGAGGGTGTGAAGGTGGACGAGTGGCTAGGGAGGTTCAGAGTGAGTGCAGCAAGGCTCAGGGAGAGGGTGTGGATAGGAGAGACTTACCTGAGCAATTTGCAACCCTTCCTTTTTCCAATAGGAAGGCTGGCAAGGAAAGTTGCAAATGGTGATCATATGATCACAGACCACTGCAACTGTCATAAGTATAAGCCAGTTGCCAAGTGCCCAGATTGTGATCACATGACTGTGGGTCTACAGGTAGTCCTCGACTTACAACAGTTCATTTAGTGACCGTTCAAGGTTACAACAGCACTGAAAAAAGTGACTTATGACCATTTTTCACACTTATGACCATTTCAACATCCCCATGGTCATATGATCAAAACTCAGATGCTTGACAACTGACTCATATTTATGATGGCTGCAATGTCCCAAGGTCATATCGTTACCTTTTCTGACCTGCTGACAAGAAAAGTCAATAGGGAAGCCAGGTTCACTTCACAACTGTGTTACTAACTTAACAACTGCAGTGATTCACTGAACAGCTGTGGCAAAAAAGGTCACAAAATGGGGCAAAAATCACTTAACAAATGTTTCACTTAGCAACATAAATTTTCGGCTCTAATGTGATTGTAGGTTGAAGACTACCTGTATTGAGACAGCCTTTGAAGACTTTGAGGACTGATGATAATTACCACCTGTTCAGCTTAGAATGGATGCTGAACAAGGAATTGTTAACTGAGCAACACCTGTAGTGTCACTGGGAGAATGAATGAGGACTAATTTACAAAACAAGCATGTGAATGAAAAGTGAAGGATTCACAAAGACAATAAGGTCTGATGATGTACAATGAATAGTTGTATTGTTTTATTTGTCTTATAACTTGCCCTGCTTTTTCTTATTTGTTTTCCATGCTTTGAATAATATCACTTTTACTAGAAAGACAATGTGATGAAAACATATTATGTATACTGTTTTCATCAACATCAATATGGGCAATTTTGATTTTATGTTTCATTATCTCTGAGATGTATAAAAATATAAAACACAAAATGAATTCTGAAGAATGTTTAATCAGCATCTTGTGTCCTATTATATATTTTAACATATACTTTTAATCATATACTTACCCATTATAAGTTTCAGAAACACCAGCAAATGGTTCATTCCCACATTTAGCAATTGCAAACACCAAGTTTAATAGCAGTGCTATAGTACAAGTAACAATAATAAACTTGATTATAGTTTTGCAATTCATTTGGAGCTTAGAAACTAAGGTACCACTAATGATTTGGCCAAGTGCTGCTCCTGGGATTAAGACAAGTCCTAAAAACAAAATAAAGGAAAATAATCAAAGTAATAATTTCACTTAAAATAAAACAATAAATATATTCACTACTAAAAAGAGAACTAAGCATGGTTATTTTATTGTTATGGTAAACAGTCATTCTTTTACTTTTCTCTCTCTTTGCATGTTTTATTTTTATGAAATTATTATGAATTTAAAAAAAGAAATGGGTTTGGAATGCTAATCTGTGAAAAAAATACATTTTACTACAGTTACTTATATAGCTCTGGTCACACGAACAAGAGGACTTTTAATTACATGTGGAATTAGATGTTAAGAGGAATAAAAATACATGCACCAATATCTTCACTGTTAAATAATCTTTAAATACTTATTAAATTTATATTTCAGAGTTTATGAGTTTTATTACCACAAATAAATTTTATTTTTGCTCTCCATGTCCTTGGCTACTAAAGTTTCATTTCATATAATGATGCCAATTCACTTAACTGGTTGTGTCATGAGATATACATGTGTAAATCAGCTTTCAGACATAAAATGCCAAAGGTTGTACAACTCTGATCCTCTGTGATCACGTCTGTACTTGTTCCCTGCCTGGTATGTTCTCTCACTCAATAACATGTTCCTGATTTTAAGTACAACAAAGCAGGTGGAAACAGCAGCTGGAGGCAATTCCAGGCTCTTTACCTTCCATTCAAGATGGCATCCTAGTAAAGCAATTATTAATCAAAGATCTCAAACGATGAACACAGCACTGAAATTCCATTTTACAGAAAGCTTTTTGGTTTGTTCAGGTACTCAAAAAAGATCAGCTGGTGGTTCACAAAACCAGATATGAAAAGATGGGTTATTGTCATCAATAACCATTTGTTTTATTCAATATTATTATTTTGCAGATGGAAATACCTATAGTGGATTTATGCATCCTAATTACTACCAAACCTGGTTTTTCTTAAATCTACAGTTCTTATCTTATCAACCTTATCAGAGGTATGTTATTCATTTGTACATTGTAACCTGATGTGCAAAATAAGTGTACTAAATCTTGCACGTTTTGCTTTACAATGCTAAAAATCATTTGCAAAAATAAATGTACACGCTCCCAAATTTTGTCAATAATAATAATAACAACAACAACAGCAGCAGCAGCGTATGGTGTTGTCACATTAGCTAGGAGACCACAGTACTGTTGTAAAGTAGTAGTCTGGTTACCACCACCAGAAAGAAAGACAAGTGGCTCTTCCTACAGAGTCACCAAAGGCCCCCTTCCCTTCCCTGGAGCCCCCTTTCAAACAGTCATCACAACCAGGAAGTTTCAAGAGCCAGCAAGAATCTGACTGTCTGCATGGAGCACCAACTCTTCTCCCCACTGAAGTGATAAAGTGAGATGTACTTCTTTGTGGGAAGCCAATCCAAATAGAAGCCACAACAATTTATGTTGCATTCTAAGAGACACTACCTTTCTTTCTATTTTATACTGATTTGAGTTGATCTGCTTAGCAGTTTCTGACTTTTTTTTTTTATAAGAAACTGTATCCTTTTCCCAATTTGATTATCATAAATGGAAAGGCAAGCTTGGAAATAAATATTTAAACTAATTCAGAAAAATTGTTACACCATAAAACAAAAACAAATCTGAAATTGTTAAGTCCTACTTAAAACATTCTATCAACTGAGGATCCAGGTTTCTTTCACTCCCCACCCTGAGTCAGTGCCCCTCAGAGGACAATAACCTAAAGAACAGAAAATATTGCTTGGATTCCCAAATTATTCTGATTAATTTATTAAAGAAAACAAATTTTACCATACATAAAATTCACGGAATTCAATAAGATATTTTCTAGTAAAACTCTTAAAACTCCAGCCTTTCTTTTCATGGTCTAGTTTTCCTTTTTTCCAAGTATTAAATCCCATCATCAACCAAATTAAAAGGGTGTTTGTGTATAATGAAGCAAATACATTACCTCCTAAGGTAGCTGAATAGCTAGATGTAAATCCAAACTGATTTTCTATAAATTTAGGCAAGAAAGTTGCAAAACCAGTAGCGACTAAAGCTTCTAACGCAGCTGCTATTACAAGATACATCAACACGGGATTCCTCAGCAGCATCTAGAAGAGGAGGTTTGGTTAAGTTCTCCCTACATATTTTAGTTAGACTTCTTAAATCAATATTATGTTGCATACATAGTACCTGCTCAGATTATTCCACAAAGAAATTTATCTAGTTTTTCAGAATAAATGTTCATTATAACATTAGTTTTGCTGTTTTTTCAATCTCTTATTTAAAAACTGTTAGAATTGTTTATTCCCTTCTCCATCTCTTCAATGAAAAAGAAGGGCACATTAAGAAGAAGAAAAAACGTTCTTAGTGGACTTTTTTGGCCAGAAGACTCCAGATCTAGCTATTATAATGCTGATTTATCCAATTATTTGAATCTATATCCTGAGCTTCAGCTAGTCAAATTTGGTTTGAGATTTGGAATTCATTTAAACCAATTGGAAAAGCTTCCTAGAACTAATATTTACCCCATTTTCATGACTACCTTGGAAATATTTCTAAGCCTGAATAAACTTTAGAAACATTCTATTCTTTTTTTTAAAAAAAAAAAATCCCTCCTGCTAATCAACTACCCTTTTTGTTGATTTTTGGCATATCTGAGTCATTATTTTGGCTTCCGTTATCCTGTCAAGAGATAAAGATGCCAAGATACAAATGAATAATGCCTAATCTTGGCTTTTGAACAACTTAGCACAGGGTGGCCAAATAGAGGCAGAAAAAGACAGGGTTTCTGACTGAAACACTACAGAGACAGCACCAACCCTCAACCAACCCACGCAAGTCCCCCACAAAACAGTAGTTCACCTCCTAATGACCCTGATCTGATGTAATCTTCCTATCACAACACCCATCACAAGATTCTCACTGATGATTCACACCTGACCCATCACAAGACCCATCACAAGACACTCACTTGACACACCCACATCTGAAACCCTTGTAAACAGAAGAACACTGACATTGACATCCCCTAAACTCTGCTGAAGATGTTACCTAGCCTGGTGGTAATGAAATGTTCACAAATCAACCCAAAAGCTCAGAAAACGGAACCTTCACTCTCATCCTACACCCGAACTACAGATATTTGCCACTATTGCAAACACTATAGTTTAGCCAAGTTTTTCTTAGCATCCATGACAATAATTCCGCACAAATGCACAGACATACATATATATAAAGAATTGCATTAGCTCAATATTTTGCTATTCTTCCTTCCTTTTCTGTTTGGTTTTAAAAATTCAGCAGGTCATGGGTTTTAGATTTATCACAGTCCTGACAAATCTCTTAGAACAGTGTCAACTGTTTCATCAAACAAAGTGTTTGCTTCAGAATTCAAATATTGAAATGTGTAGAAATCTAGTTCATAGGCCACAAATATGTTGTAGAAGGTTTCTTTTTATAAGCATACAAAGTGTTTGGCTGGATTGACACCAGTGCATGCATGAAAACAAAGAAAAATGTTGGTTATTCCCTCATCTAGTCACAGCATACAGACTGAGCCAGGATATCATATTAGGTGGAATTACCCCCTTGTAATAACTTAGTAAGATTAAGATATCATTGCCTGGTTTTCTTGAACAGAAGCTTTAACTGGCATCTGTTGCAGTAAGAAATCATCATGATGGTGTCAACTTCTTTCTGCTTGTGCTGAAGAAAACAGCCAACACAGCAAATGGCTATGATTTCTCTCAAGGTTTACAGGGGCATGGAAGGGAATGAGATGAAACTGTCAACCTCATCCCTTAGCTGGTACTTAATTTTAAAATCATTTAATTTAGTATCTAACTGGCCCTCAAAAAGTTGTGAAAACAAACATTATTAGCTACTGATGAGTGGCCATAAACTGGAAAATAGGATAGTGACAGACAATTAGAGCTGTTAATGTAATCTGCAAAGATATACTGGGTATTAAAAGTTATTATTCATGGTTAATATGTTTATCCTTTTTTATTATACTTTGTTTTCAAATAATGTGTCTTGGTGATCAAATGCCCATTTAAAATAAAAGAATAATTGAATTTTAGAGCTGCAAGACATCTTGCGGGGGGGGGGGGAGATATTTAGTTTTGTCTTTGGCTTAAAGCAATCTTGCAACATGCCATCCTTAAATAAAGATGGACTTTATTTAAATGCCTTGCAACTTTCTGAGGCAATTTATTACTCTCCAACTAGATCTTTCCATTAGGAATGTGCTCTAATGAAGAACAACTATATTCTTAATGCTGACTCCTCTGGAATATGCCAGAAGTTTGGCCTCATGTTTGATTTGGTTTCAGATCCTTTATTTTTTTTTTTTTAAAAAAAAAAGAGGAACAAATTATATCTGCAAGTAAGTTCTAGGTTCTAGCATCATTTTGATTTCCAAAAATACTTCTCGACCTCGTATTAGCCCTATAGGCATGCTTAGGAAATAAGAATGGATGACTGCAGTGCTTTGTTTGGAAGTGTGACTACTTCCCAGAATATATATATATATATATATATATATATATATATATATATATATATATATATATATATATATATATATATATGTTTTGAGTTGATAGGGTTTGATCTGTGGGATGACAGATAATGGGAAACAATCTCACCAGAGCTTTGTTCTTTTTCTTTCTTTTTCTTTTTTGTAGTTAATGAGTATTTTGTGATGGGACACATCACTGTGGCAGCTGTTTTTTATAGCATACATATATTGCTGAAAATCCAAACATCTATCACCTCAAAAGAAGTGTCTGTCCCTAGGCAGGAAACTTGTGCTTAAACCTTTCAAACAGAAGGAATTTGCATCCTCCTCAATAATCCGTGCGACAAATAGGCTTTGCTGTTGGAAATTTCTTCTTAAGATTTTGCCAAATCTGCTTCCCTATTAATTCCATTCATTGGTTCTAGAGCTCACTCCTGGAATCATATAAACAACTCTTTTCCATCTTCAGACATTTGAAGGTCACTATCATGTATCCCTTAATCTTCTCTATTTAAGTTTCACCAGTTCATCATATATCTCATTATTCTATTCAGCAATCACTTTTGCCTAAACCTCAGTTACACATGAAATATGACTGTGGGCTTGAATTATATACACACATATACAAAGCTGTCTTAAGACCTGAAGAAGCTTAGGAGCAGCATGTTCATTTCTTTCTCAAAGCATCTTACACTAATATAATTCTCCTTTCAGTCATTGCTCTTTGGCTACTAAAAATCAATATTCAAATAAGAGATAGTAGCATAGGTGAGGAAATCTATGCTACTGAAATTGATGTTTGATTCCGATGTTCGATTGTTCGTTTGCAGCTGGGGAAGGCAGAATTAATAATTATGTCTAGTTTAATGAAAAGAAGGACTGGGGGTGACATTATAATGTTCTAATATCTGAGGGGCTCCAGAAAGAAAAGGGGGGTCAATTTATTTTCCAAAGCACCTGAACACAAGACAAGAAGCAATGGATGGAAATTAATCAAGGAGAGAAACAAATTAGAACTAAGGAGAACAATGGATCAGTGGAACAGGGTTTTCTCCAGAAGTTGTCAATGGTCCAACATTGGAAGTTTTTAAGAAGACAACATAGAATGTTATAGAGTCTCCTATAGGGTTGGACTGGAAGACCTCCAAGGTCTCTTTCAACCCTGTTATTCTATGTTTTATGAGATTATATAATCGTATTGGTTTGAATGTAAAGTACTGACTGATCTAACCATTTCAGACATTGAATAATGCTATTAAGCTTGTTGCATTCTGTTAATGAGGACTTGCAAGTATTATTGACACCATGACACCCAAATGTGGTCAGATTTAAATTAACTACAGATATTGATTTGAATGTGTTGTTTTTGTTACCCAAAGAATCATAAGAAAGTCCTTAATACTCTTCCCAGTATATTCACACATCTGTTTTCCGTTATGATGTGCTTCAGAAATCTTCTCTGCTCGTATTTTGCTTGTACCTAGAAGAAGAAATAATTTACTTTTGACAAAAGACAATTGTAATTGCAAGACGTACACACATTTTGTGGAAATCAGCTGTAATTTTAACTTCAGTAAATTTGTCTGCTTGGACACAAATCTGTATTCTTTATGATTTCAAAATCATTGTTCTGTCAGATATTTTTCACTTAAAATAGTTTCATCCTCTTGAAGAGGATGCAATAACAGGGTTACCAGACTTCTAGCAAAATAGTTACCATGGGGCAAGCTGGGCAGCTAAACAAAAGGAAGACATTCCTCCTTTTTGTCTTCATGTCCTTTGTCGGACAGGCATAGCCTTAAAATTAAACAATGTCAGGCTTTTTAAGTATCTCTTCCATAGCAACTTTTCTCCATGGCACGGTGCTTCCTTAATAAGTGCTAAGGGCAAGTTAAAAAGCTCTGTTCTGTGACCTTAATTAATTGAAGAGTACTTTCGAGCAAGCTTGCTCTGCTGCCAGAAATTGACAAGACTTTAATTATATACTGAAGGCTTTTGCCTACTAACTGACTCTGGTACATTTCTGCCATTGGAAAACCTGATACTGGAAAAAGTAAGATCCTATACATATACAATTAGGGGGTGTTATTTTATATTATTATTTTATTTTTTGTAGATTTGCATTGCAATTTTTGTTTACAGATGGTAAGAAAATTAAGCAGTTAGTGTGTCCTCCTTTTCACCCATTTGTCTTTCTTTCCAATTGTCTAGGTCCTCCTTTGCCTGTTCAGATCTCTAGTATGTTAAGGACAAATAGTTTCAGAAAATCAGTCTGTGGCATGAAGGTAAAAAGATATATAAGAAGATATTTAAGTTTGTTGAAAGCAGATTTTAGATTGGAATCATCATAAGTCATTATTATAAATGTTATAATAACGTTCATTCATACCAGCTGTAATGAAGTAGGATTGGCTAATATCCAAAAATGGATTGAATTTCTCTCTCCCTGTTCAACCGGTTTTATCTATTGAAAAGTAGAAATGGGGATTTCGAAACAAAGCTTTGCCTTTAAGAACTTTGATTTCGTGCCACAGTAAAATTCTCCCTTGGCTCAAGACATTATGAAAGGACTTTTTCTCAGATCTTTTTGAAAGACTGATTCTTGTGATTTCTTTTTTTCAAACATTGATTAAAGAATAAGATATTTAAAAAGGATCTTTTCCTCAAAGATTGAAAGACTACCAAGTTTTTCCTCATATATCCTTATTTTTATTGCTATTCAATACAATCAGTTTTTTCATCTTTGTTTTAGAAATAAGTCCACATCCAAATGATCAAAGTGTTCCTCTTAGCAATCATCTTCTCTTTTTTCTTTTTTCCCAATGTCCCTCATAAAATTACACTACTGCAGTAAGAATAATTTAAAACTGTGATGAGCTATATGAAAGTTGCAAATTCTAGAATATTTATTGCAGTAATCATATTTATTTATCAGAATATTTATTGAAATACAATTCAGCTATTCATTCATTCTGTACTGTTTTAGACTATAACTTTAGGAATCCAAACAACTTATCTAATGCTCAATGTTACAGTATTCTAGTATTACACTAGTTCCTTATTTTAGAATACTTATTTACCTGGCAAATGCTTTGGGAAATATGAAAATGGTGCTACTAAAAGGCACGTAGAGAAGCTGCATATCACAAAGGCTATCCACCAAGCTCCAACCCAGCGTGGATCTTCTGGAGTGAGGTCTACACTAGAATAATATTATTTAATGAACACATATTTAAAGAAGGTATTATGAACTAAACAACAATACCTTTTGCAAAGCCATTCTGTATGATAAAATATACATTTTAGCTTATTTATTACAACTATGCTGCCTTCTTCCCACATTTATGCAGTTATACAAAAATAATTATTACTGTTTTACTAAATAGAAAATTGAATGTATTTCAGGTAGTAATGAGTTCAATCAAGTATTATTGTTCAGGATTATAGAAAGCTTGAAAGAGTGTTTTGTTTCAAGGAAGATTCAAAAGTAGCACCACTTTATAACCTATGCATAGTAATATGAGCACCCTACTTATGAACGTAAAGCAAAAGAGAACAGCATCTTTGCTCTCTTTTTCTTCCTCAGAGCTCAACGTACAAGAAAAGGCTTTGAGAAATCTACAACACTGACTGAAGTGCCTTTAGAATATGTAGCTTTACCACAAGTTGTGGGGTTGATTACAGTGCACATTGATGCTGCCCAGTCTGGAGCTACCTTAACATGTGTGAAAGGTCTTCCTTTCCCAGCCTAGAAGGACCTTAGCCAACAGTGGAGAAAAGAAAGCTAAGAGGATCCTTCTCCCACAGCAGAGGCCCAAAGAGGCCTCAAGCAACCAGACTGCTTCAATGAAGTAAATTGGTTGGCCTTTCACAGCACAAATGGCTTCATGCATATCTCTTCACATAAACCCCTTCTAAAGATAAAACAATCAAAATCTACATCTATCAAATTGACTAAAAATTGCTCATTACTCATTACTGCTCTGGTGTTCTAATCCAGGTTTCCCAAATACAAATCAGTGATTATTTTTTTAAAAAAACCCTCAACCCCCCCCCCAACCAAACAAACCCATTAAAATTATTATAGGTAACTACAATATATGTATTTCTGTAGTAACTATTAAGAAAAGGCTTTTCGAAAAATGTATACTCTTATTTATGTAGATGAAAAACAAAATATCCTTGCCTTATATTACGATTGAAATCAACATAGATATTCAGCAACTGTCCTCCTAAAACATAGCCAATGGCAGGACCCAGCAATGACATGGCATATCCAATTCCTGAAGGGAAGATAATAGTTTGCATTTTGGAAATTGAGCACAAAAATACATGTTGGATCCCATATCCACGGTATAAATGTGTAAGGTAATAAAAGACTAAGAATGTTAAGTTCATGCATCCTAAGTAGGTTACCCTAGGGAAGATACTGTTTAGAGTCAGAGGAGGATGGCCCAGCTTCCAGATGGTTCTTCTTCCCAGCATACCGTCTCATTTAAAATGCATTAAACATATAGCTAAAGACAAATGATGCAACTTATCTTCATCACATAAATGTTATTATGGTACATTCCAGACACTGAGCTCAACCTAATTCTAGTCTGAACCCTGGTATATGGTCTCCTGCTTGAGCAAGGGGTTGGATCTCCAAGATATCTTCCAACTCTATTATTCTGTATTCTGTAGTCATTAGGAAAATGTTTGGAGACTGAAAGGTGGGATATAAATATCTCAGATTAAACCTATCAATTCTTAATGAATCATCAGGGGAATGCTTCTCCATTTATCAATTGTGTCATGAGCTCTTGTTGACACCTGATCCTCATCTGAAGGATAACTCCAAAAATTCCAGATACTGTTCAGGGGAAAGAGATGATTTGGGTTAATAAACTTCTTTCAGATTCTGTGCATCCTTTGCCAGAAGGAGATAAAAATGCAGAAAGACTTCCTTCAGTTCACCTGCTGGGGTGGAATGCACAATATTCTTAGTGAAGAAGAATGGACTTCCCAAAGCTTCCAACTTCCTCTAGAAGGCAATAACTCAGAATATACTGAAGGAACTGAGACTTCCTTCTCTTTCACAATTTTTTCCACCTTTTCTGACTGCCTTAATGGACCACCAAAAATTTGCTTTCTGCCACATAGGAAATTTTCCATGGGTCCGCATTAATGAATGATGGGTCTAGTTGTCACAGTTGATACATTTGTTATTCTTGCTGGTTATTCATTTGTAGTATTCACATGCTGTTATTCTGTGTTTAAAATGATTATGAGGCTGGTTGCGGCTAGGCAAGAGAAAGGGAAACCAAGGTCAACACTGCAGGAGCACAGTATCTGGTTTTTATCTACTGATTTGCACAGATGAGAAGGAGCAACTGAAATATGACAAGGAATTCTTCCAGGCTCCCAAAATAGGAACTAAGTGCCACCCCACTGACCAGAAACTATAATCCCGGTGCAAGTATTAAACTAAATGCTTGTGGTTTGAAGTGGGTAAGCAGCATCCTCAAATTCCTTGCATATTGAGCATATAACGGTATGAAGTGGGAAGGTGTGCATAGATGAATGTTCAAATCACTTAGATGAGCATTTGGTTGGGAAGTTCCCAATGTGGGTAGGTACTGACTTTTAAGTGTATTCAGTATAACATACTTACAAAGCCTCTTCAGGTCTTTGTGCTGATCATGAAAAGGGCTGAAACTCCCTTTCATGGGAACTAAGACCTTAAGAATAAGGTCATACCTCCAAATACTATAAGCAACTGTAAGCAAAAATACATCCTGTAGGCCAACCAACTAAAAATCTTACAAGCAGTTAAATAAGCAAATAGAAAATACAAAAAGATATTACCAAACTTGCTAGATGCTGAAGGTAAATTTGGCATTTCAAGAAATCAAAATTAATGTAACTTACCTATATAGACTGAAGCTTGGTGCTTTGGGACACTATCATCGATGAAAGTTGTGCCCAGTGTGTACAGAGGAGTTCCACCTGCTCCTAAGAGGAACTGACCCAGCAAGAAAACGTAGAAGTAGTTGGAAAGTTTTGATCTGCTGCCAGGGCGGCAGGAGATGGTTTGGCCTCCAGAAAGAGGTACTGGACAGATGTCTGGAAATACAGGAGCAGTAAGTTAGTAGAACTTTTTTATTTGTTAGGAGAAACTGTCGTCTGTTTGCAATTGTTTGAAATAAGTCTACTGGGCCTAGGTTGTAAAAATCTAGCTAACAGTAACAAAGAGTTAAAAGTTTGTTATCTCTTTGCTGCCATCTAGTAGCTATCCAGATTGTCCAGAGTAATTATATAACCCACAATCAGAACAGTCATAAGATTTCAAAACTGCTCCAAAGTTTGAAAACTATATAGAGACATTATTCAGACAATATGGGAAAAACCAACATATAATAAGTTCATTTTCTGAGTAAGTCTTCTTTAATCTAGTGCTTCCAAATACACTGGGATTTCAAGTCCCCAAATTCTCAGAATGCTTAAGGACTGCTTGGGAATTTGGGAAAGACTGGTCATCCCTGAAGAATGATACTCAGAAGCCACTTCACTGAAACTACTGAGAATCTAACTTAGTTATATTCTGTTTTCATATAACTTAGGCAGCGATGGTATGTTTAAGTATAATTCATTAATAAATCATAACTGACCAGATTCACTCAACTTGCTAAATTATAATCCATGATTTACAAGCCACAAAGCTTGTAAATCATGTTTCCCTGTCATTTTAAATCAAAATCAATCAAAACATATTATGGCCTAACAATCCCAGTCGTGGGATTCAAATATGTGAACAACCGGTTCTCCGTGTGGATATCGCTTCCGGAAGTCCATTCTGGGCCTGGGCAACAAAAAATTAGCTACCGGTTCTGCCAAAGTGGTGCGAACCGGCTGAATCCCACCATTGAACATAAGAGATAAGAGCAGTAACTAAATATAGCAAAACATGCTGTCACTTTAAAAGAAGCATCCCAGTTAGGATTCTACCCCACCATTTCCTTCTAATCTCAACATCCCACTCCTCAGATTTCCTGAATTCCATGTTTTTCCAACTCTCTGCATTACTGAATATGTACAGACCTAATATGAAAATTGTTTTATATTATTGTTGTCTGGTTGCTGTACTGAAAATTTTGGAGTATCCTAAATGATGCTGATAATCCTTTGAGTTTTTCAGTGGTCCTGTGGTTACTTTAGTGTCATTCAGTTTCCTCTTAGAGTTGCAATAATGACATACAGTAGAGGGTGCTGCTATTTAATATATCTGGAGAATGAAACTCATTCCTAAAACAAGGTGGGCCTAGCTAGATATTTTGTGACATTGTCTGGTTTTTGTTTTCTTTTTTTAAGAAAGGAGAATGGTAATCAATTTTCAACTTGATCTTTGTTGCCAGATGCTTCATTATAATCAATAAACAATGCATACAATGGTAACCATGTTAACATAATGATGCCACATATTGTTTTTTCAAATAACAGATCTATTATTATGGTGCACAAAATATCCATGGACCCTTATATTGTAAGAATCATCTATTGCAGAAGATAAGACACTTCTCATTTTTCTTGCTCACATATTCATACCACCAGGGAATAAATCGCTTAAAATCCAGGAAGAGCAACTGCTTTTATAGCTTTTGATTACTATACTTCCTCCCATATCTATGGCAAAATGTTTCTATCTGTATAAGAATAAAAAAATTGACTGTCTTTGTCTTTCAAGTTCAGCTTATAAACAGGCTTATGTCTTCCCTCCAGTCCTGTCTGCTGGAATTTATTTATATTGTCTCTTTCTGATAATGTGTTTATATTATTGTGGCTCTACCTCATTTCCAAAATTTCATATTTTTCCCCGTAACCTTTTCCAACCACCTTCTATCTCATTCGATTAGCTACATAAATCTAAAATACGAAAAAAAAAGCTGTCTGGAGACATATGAGCATTTTTCCAGGCTAGTTTTTATATAACAGCAACTCAGGAGATTTTTAACCATAGTTTTTAACAAGCTACAGTGGATTGAATTATATACTGTGAAAAACTAAACCATGTTGCCCAAATCACAGGGTCTAGGTGGTTTAGTGTAATTTATGAAGCTAGCTTTAATCTTTCTCTTGCTGAAAGTCTTTTAAAAGTTAATTATACTTCATTTTTTTCTATTTGGGTGCTTACTAACAGATCACCTTTAAACACTGAAATGTAATCAGCAACCTGATGCTTATTGTATAAAATGGAAGAGAACAATTCAGCTCAGGGTTGAGCCCTGGAGTCCTTGGTGCACTCCAAGTCACTCTGGAGTCCTTGGTACTGATGATATTACCTAGTTGGGCAATGAAATGTCTGCAAACAAACAAACTCAGAGTGCACCCAAATACTTCTAAGGATGAACCAGTATTCCCAAGTCTTGCATAATAGCTCTTAGTTTATTTATTTATTTCAATTTAATTCAAGTATTTCACAGTGCTTCAGCAGACAAGGTTCTGAAAGCAAGGACCTCATTTAAAACCCAGCATGATATCCTTTCAAAGGGCATAATGATCATGGAACTATTTGGCTAATGCTCTTTTCAACACCTATGCATCATCTTTTTCAGTACTCATTAACTCTCATTGCAATAAAGAGAAACAAGATTATGTTTACCATTAACAAAATCTTAGAAGGTAAGATTAGACATGATATCTTTAGCAATCTATTTGTAATAAAAACCAACAAAACCAATAAGAGCTATAATATTCAATGGACTTTTACTTTCCATAGTCAGCTTTCATTGTAATAGAAAATAAAAATACATAGTTCTCAACTTACAACCACTTATTGGAACAAGAATTTCCATTATTATGCAGGGCAGTTGTTAAGTGAGTCACACTCAATGTTACAATCTTTAATGCTATGGTAATTAAGCTAATCACTGCACTTGTTAAATGAATCAGTTAGTCGTTAGGCAAATACATTTTTACCAATTGACTTTGCTTGTCAGAAGCCAGCTGAACCAGCTGAGGTCATAAATGGCAGCTATTAGACGTGTGTTTTGAGTAACCCCAATTTAAACAGTAGATAATTATTACATACAGACTTTTCCTTTGTATGTTATCAGATCCCCATGGCTGTAGTTCAAGTGACAGTTCTGATTATGTAGTACTCTAATACAATTCAACATGAATCTTATGTGACACTAAGATGTTAGTAAATGGTTAACATTAAACATAAAACCAACAAGATAAGAGCTATATACCTTGGAACAGTCCATAAAATCCATATTAATGGATGGAAACTAATCAAGGAGAGAAGCAACCTAGAACAAAGGAGAAATTTCCTAACGGCGAGAACATTTAACCAGTGGAAGGCAAGTAGTTTTAAAACATTTCTAATCAGTATCCTCAACAGAAACCATTTTTCAGCAAACCACCCTCTCAGTTTTCCTTCTGAGAAGAAAATAGAATGAAGCACTCTAGTTAATGTATTTTTTTATTTTTTAAAACAGCTTCACTATTTGTTTTTTTTCAAATCAGCAATGACAGTGTGTTAACCATACTTCTTAAGGATGAGAGTAATGAGGACACACCTCTTTGTTGCATAACTGCTATTTCCCTTCAAGACAGTTTCACTGGAAACAAATAAAACAATAGAAAGCATTGGGTAATAACAGTTTCGCCCTTTCAAGAATTGCTCAGCAACTGGATGCTACAGCACTGCATTCCCCGATAACCTCTTCTGAAGTCCTTTGATGAATTCAGTGTGCCAAGCCAAATTTCATTAGCAGGATGAAAAATAGATTTCAACTTACATTTCAAAAAGGGGCCAGTTAGGCAACTACTTATATAACTTGAACCACTACAGTGCTACTAGCAATATGCTAGGCAGATGACAACAGCCATTGCGGAGAATTCATTCAGTTGCTCATGGTACCTGCTTGCTTAATTTTTGTATCACCTTATATTTCACAAAAATAAAGGCTGTCAGATTCAAAAGTTATGCCCTTGGTATGTGGAAGCTGACATTTACAAAGAATTGAACATACGCACATTGTAGGAAGCAATATCGTATTCCATTCTAAAATCTGTTTTATTCCCGATCAGAATTGAATCCAAGCTGATTGTAATAAATATGCTAAAATTACATGATGTCGTTGTTCCTCATAAATGAACAATACACATTCTCAGAACTGCAAGTGAAATCTTGTGGAAGCAATGAGAATATACTGAGATGCAAGGATGACTCCAAAGAAAAAGAAATAAATTAGGTTGTTAAAAGAGTAAAATGTGAGTGTTACTGTACTTAAATCACAGAGTCTGTGGATGGAGAAACTGCTGGGCTGTAAAAAAGGCAGTTGAATATAAATAAAACTGCAGGTGGTTATTTATTTGTGATGTAATTTAACTAATTAAAGAAAAATAATTATGAAATTATCATGCAAATGAACCTAAGAGCTTCCTCATTAAAGAAAATGGAGAATAGAGAATCATCATAATTAATATACTGCCTATGAAAAGGAAAAATACAGAGAGTCCTTGACTTACAAGAGTTTTTTAGTGACCGTTCAAAGTTACAACGGCACTGAAAAATGTGACTTATAACCATTTTTCACACTTATGACCATTGTAGCATCCCAAGGGTTAGATGATTAATATTTGGACACTTGGCATCTGGCTCCCATTTGTGATGGTTGCAGTGGTTCACTTAACTGTGGCAAGAAAGGTCATAAAATGGAGCAAAACTCACTTAACAAATGTCTCACTTAACAACAGAAATTTTGAGGTGAATTGTGGCCGTAAATCGAGGACTAGCTGTATTATGGCTAGACCTCGCTACTGCATAGCAGATTGATAAGTCTACTTAGCAATTTAATGTTCATCATTACTAAAAAATTGTCCAAATAGTTCAGTAAATAACAAAAGTTATGAAAATACGCAGATGATAATAGCTATCATGTCAATAAAGTTTAATAAGCCACTATATATATAAAATCTCTTCTTTTTTTTCCCCAAGCAGACAAGAATCAAGTTGTGTGATCAGAAGGGATCAGCATTCTGTTGTTCTAACATTTTCTGCAACCTTTCACCTAATTTCAGGTGACCTTTTTTAAAAAAAATTCAGATCCCTTCTGATA